AATGACTTCAGCTGGCAGAGCAACATAAGCAGCTGAGTAGCAAGCAAAGCAGCTACTGAGTGTCAGAGACTGCAGACAGACGCAGCTAACTTCGGAGGGTACGGCTTTAGGGAAAGACCTTCTTCCTGTACCACCCCCATTCCAGCTGCCATCCCACTGAGGGCCATTTCCATCACCCAGTAAAATCCTCCGCATACACTACCCCTTCAATCCATTCATTTGTCCTGATTCTTTCCAGATGCCAGACAAGAACCTGGGTGCCAAGAGGGCAGGGGCTTGGATGCTGCTGCCAGGGCCGTACAGAGCCTGCTCCCACCAGAGAGGATCGACCAACTGGTTCCAGCATGCGTTCACTCTGGCTCCCACACTGCTTGTTCACACATTCCCTCTTCCAAAAAGTGGCCAGCAGTGGGCTGAAAGGAGCCACTCCAGTTCCTGCCCACGAAAGGGGTCAAGGTCAAGGGAATTATCCCATCTCAAGAGGTTGCCATGAGCCAAGATTGCGCCACTGCACTCCAGCCTGCGCAACAGGCTGAGACCCCACTTCAAAAATAAATAAAAAATAAAGTTTGATAAGAAGGAAAAAAGACAGATGGGAATGGTAGATTGTTAGAAGGCTAAGATTAGTGGGAATTTTTTTTTATTTATTTATTTATTTATTTATTTATTTATTTTAGAGATGGGGCGTCTTGTCATGTTGCTCAGGTGGTCTTGAACTCCTGGCCTCAAGCAATCCTCCCGACTCAGCCTCCCAAATTACTAAGATTACAGACTTGAGCTGCCATACCCCACCTACAGTAGGAATTTTTTTTTTGAGATGGGAGTCTTGCTTTGTCGCCCAGGCTGGAGTGCAATGGCGTGATCTCCGCTCATCACAACCTCCACCTCCCAGGTTCAAGCGATTCTCCTGCCTCTGCTTCCTGAGTAGCTGGGATTACAGGCATGCACCACCATGCCCAGCTAATTTTTTGTATTTTTAGTAGAGATGGGGTTTCTCCATGTTGGTCAGGATGGTCTCGAACTCCCAACCTCAGGTGATCCGCTCACCTCGGCCTCCCAAAGTGTTGAGATTACAGGCATGAACCACAGTGCCCAGCCTTCAGTGGGAATTTTTAATGAGGGAGGGGGAACATGTCTTAGGATGATAGGAAAGAATTGGGAAAGTATATCTACCAAAAGTGCTGTGTTGATAGTAGAAAAAGATGAGGTTAAAGTGGTGCAAGGATTTGTAAAAGAAGATCTTCTGCTAGGCCTTGACTAAGCAGAGGGTTTCCCAAGCCTAAGGAAGAACATAAGCAAAGGAAGGATAGAACCCAAGTCAAGGTATAAAAGGACAGAGGGGCCAGGCACAGTGGCTTACGCCTGTAATCCCAACACTTCGGTATTGCATCCTCCAAGGTAGGAGGAAGGTTTGCGTCCAGGAGTTCGAGACTGGCCTGGGCAACACAGCGAGACACTGTCTCTACAAAAAAGTTATAAACATATTTCAGCCTGGCCAACATGGTGAAACCCTACCTCTACTAAAAATACAACAAATTAGCTGGATGTGGTGGCGGGCACCTGTAATCCCAGCTACTCAGGAGGCTGAGGCTCAAGAATCGCTTGAACCCAGAAGGTGGAGGTTGCAGTGAGCCAAGATTACACCACTGCACTCCAGCCTGGGCTACAGAGCCAGGCTCTGACTCATAAAAATTAATTTAAAAAATTAGCCAGGCGTGGTGGTGCACACCTATGGTCCTATATACTCAGAAGGCTGAGGCGGGAGGATCACTTCAGCCCTGGAGGTAGAGGTTGCAGTGAGCTGTGTTTGTGCCACTGCACTCCAGACTGGGCAAGATAGCAAGACCCTGTACAGGGAAAAAAAGAAAAAAAAAAAGGAAGAAAGGAAGGGAGGGAGGGAAGGAAGGAAGGAAGGAAGGAAGGAAGGACAAAGGAACAGGAACATTTGAGGAATGGGAAGGGGAATCTTAAATGCAGGAAAATTTGATGTATTGGAGGTACAGTGAGAAATGCGGTAGATTATGACTAGATTTTAGTTATTCTGGCAATGACATTGGGAAAGAATTGAGAGTGGGGAAAATTTGGTATTGGGAAGGTCAGAAATTAAATTAATCCAGGCATGTGATAAAGCTCTGGAGCAAAGTATTGGCAATGGGAGGGGAGAGGAAGGAGCAGCCAAGGGAGGCCAAACAGAGCAACCACAGCTGGATGGCCACAGGGTCATGTGGAGCAGAGACAACCAAGGGCTGGGATGCCACCACTGCAACATGCCACCACTGCCCATGAGTGTTTTCTCAACTGCTCTTACTTCTTTCCATCACAAGAGTCCAAGTACTATGTGGGGGTGCCTGTGCTCTGGATGCTGAGAGCCATGAGAGGATTTCTGCCCTTAAACTTCTCTTCTAGAGACCTGGCTCTCACAATACCACATACAGATAATTCTTCCCCAGTTGCAGAGGAGATGGGATGCCAGACAGCCAAAAGGAGAAAAGGTGTCACTACAGGGCCAGACTGAAAGGCCTTATATATGCCCCTCTGGCAGGGGAAAAGGGTACATCTTATGTCATAAAAAAGTGTTGTGATCAACTTTAGGCAAATCATCCCGGGAGCAATATGAGGTTTGGGCTGGAGAGGGAATAGACTGTTGATAAAAAGACCAGGGAAAGTGTGTAAGAGAAGGCAGATTAGAGGAGCATTTATTTCTTGGGGAGAATCACAGGGTCTGGTGACTATAACAATGGAGGAAGTAAAAGAGAAGGAATTTAGGACTCGGTTCATGGCAATGCCATCAATTGATTCTGAAAATACAAGCTATAAAATAGGTTTGTGGATGAAGATGAATCATTAAAAACTAGTTATGTGAAATATACATACTTTACTAAAGATCTCAGGAAAAAAAAACAGCAATGGAGATGGTGCTTCTGTTCTCACTGAGCCTCACAGAAGGTAACAAAGGTAAGAGAACGAATGAAATCCTCCAGGAAGAAAAAGGGAGGAAAAATAGAACTAAGGACAAATCCTGGGAACACCAGTATTACAGAATCAGTAGAAGAGGAAAAAAGTCAGGAGAGATTCATACCAGTGAAGCCAAAGGAAATAAAAGGACAACACACTGGGGTAGAGAATGGGGAAGTCATCATGGTGACAGGCTGCAGAGAAAGCAAATGATTCAACACGGGGGGAAGAGGATCACCAGCAATTAGCAGGTCAGTGTTGACCTTAGCGAAAGTAGCTTCAGAAGAGACAGGACAGAGTCTAGAAGGCAATGGGTTGAAGAGTGTGCCAGTTACTAACTTACTGCCTCTTAGTTTCAAATTCAGGCCAGGCGAATCACCTGAGGTCAGGAGTTCAAGACCAGCTTGGGCCAACAAGGTGAAACCCCGTCTCTACTAAAAATACAAAAATTAGTCGGCCATGGTGGTGGGCGCCTGTAGTCCCAGCTACTCGGGAGGCTGAGGCAGAAGAATCGCTTGAACCTAGGAGGCGGAGGTTGCAGTGAGCGGACATTGCGCCACTGCACTCCAGCCTGGGCGACAGAGTAGGACTCCATCTCACAAAAAAAATAAAAAAGTGAAGGGGTGGCCTACCCCTCCACACCTGTGGGCGTTTCTCGTTAGGTGGAACAAGAGACTTGAGAAAAGAAATGAGACACAGAGACAAAGTATAGAGAAAGAAAAAGCGGGCCCAGGGGACCGGCGCTCAGCATACAGAGGACCCACGCCGGCACCAGTCTCTGAGTTTCCTTAGTATTTATTGATAATTATCTTTACTATCTTAAAGAAAAGGAAGTGGCAGGATAATAGGATCATTATAGGGAGAAGGTCAGCAGTAAGACATATGAATAAAGTTCTCTGTGACATGAGTAAGTTTAAGGAAAAGTGCTGTGCCTTGATATGCATATGCAAACATCTCCATAAACCTTTTTAGTGCATAAAGAGCAGCATTGCGCTAGCAAGTCCCGCCTTTCACCCTAAGGCGGTTTTCTCCTTTCTCAGTAAACAGAACGTACAATCCGGTTTTATACGAGATGTTCCATTGCCCAGGGACGGGCAGGAGACAGATGCTTTTCTCTATCTCAACTGCCAACAACGGCCAAGAGGCCTTCTTTCCTCTTGTACTAGTCCTCCTCAGCACAGACCCTTCACGGGTGTTAGGCTGGGGGACGATCAGGTCTTTCCCTTCCCACGAGGCCATATTTCAGACTACCACATGGGGAGAAACCTTGGAAAATACCTAGCTTTCCTAGGCAGAGGTCCCTGCGACCTTTGGCAGTGTGCGTGTCCCTGGGTACTTGAGATTAAGAGAATGGTGATGACTTTTAACCAGCAAGTTGCCTTCAGGCACTTGTTTAACAAAGCACACCCTGCACAGTCCAAAATCCTTTAAACCTTGAGTCACCACAGCACATGTCTCTTGCAAGGACAAGGTTGGGGGTAGGGTCACAGATCAACAGCATCTCAAATACAGAACAAAATGGAGTCTCTTATGTCTACTTCTTTCTATATAGACACAGTAACAGGCTGAGCTTTCTTTTCCCTACAAAAAAGAACAAGAACAAGAAGAAATTTGAAATGTCAAAGTTAAGAAATTCAGTTTAAAATGTTTTATTTCATAGCTCATAAAAAAGTATGTATGTACAAGACTCAAGTAAATAGAAAGGCAGCTTTCAATCACAAATCAGATAGTTTTTCAAACTCTACTGTGGAAGCATATTTAATGCACACATTTGAACGCTACACATAAAACATTTTAACTATGCAGTCCAAGTTCTGGATTTTACATTAGATCTGCATATATAAGACACTTGTGGTCAAATTTCAAGATTGGTAAAGGCCATTTCAAGCTGCTTATATTTTGAGTACAGGTTTCACTATTACAAATATATCATGTTAAACTAACAAACTCATGACCTTCAAAGATGTCTTCATCCCATGTGCACACATTTGTAATTTGCGTCCATTTGATATTTCCCTTCTTTTATAATCTTCGAATTATAGTAGTTACGCATTGAGTTCCCTATGTATCTCACCCATCTCCTTTATCTGAAACAGGAAAAAGTACAGAAAAAAATTCTAAATAATTTTTCAATCTTTTGTTCACTCTGAAAATAGTACTAAATAATAAAGTTAAAGGAACACAAGATGATTTTTTTCCACATTTATAAGACTTATTTAAATAAAAAAAGAAAAAGTTATATTGCAAGGAAACACACATTTAAGTGTTTTCAAGCTTCTATTTAGAGACAAGATCGCCAAAGTGACTAGGGCAAGTTGGAGGTAAGCTAGATCTTTAAGAATAAGATTTTTATTAAGTGCATACTATTTTTAAGATTAGGAAAACATTGATTTACTTTCTATTATCAATCTTTCATTTTATATGTGGGGAAACTCAAGTTCAAAATTAGTGTTTGTCTCAGATCACACAACCAGTTACAGGCAAACTGAGACGATGATAATGACTACTACTACTCTGTTGACAAATATTTTCTTATGTGGCAAGCATGGGACCAACACTTTACACCGATTATGTTTAATCCTTGCAACAGGTCTATACTATCTATTATCCTCATTTTACAGATAAGGAAACATGGAGGCTTAAAGAAGTTATACAACTTTGCCCAGCCAAACCCAGGTCTGTACTGCTCTGCACTACAACACTACATTGTCTTTCTGCCTGTCTGTTACAGTTCAATTCAGGTTAGTCTTCTAGACTTGTGGTCACCAAACCAAATAAGCCAGATGACCTACTATGGAATGGGAAAAAAATGCTAGAACTTTCTGGTTCTATTAGATTTTTTCCAATATTCCTTTACGTTTCTATTTTTATTACTTGCTAAAATATTAGTAAGTGGCCCATATACAAAGATACACAAAAATTGACAGATATATGAAAAATGTTAATGATAGGGTTCAAGGACAAGTGTTCATATTCAATTCCAAGGGACCAAAACACACCAACAATCTGACACTTTGATCTCATACTAGTATAGATGACTAGTTAGTACACAATAGATTTATTATGACAAATTAAGTTCATATTAAATGATTATTTCACTGGCATAAAGATAACAGATCATTAGTCACAATGAGTTTCTCCAAGGTGAATCCACTGGAGTATGCCTTTAGAAGCTTCTGCTAGATGTTGACACTTTGTAAAATAAAAACCATAGGCTTCCCATTCCACTCTTCTATGAGGCAAAAATCAATAGATGGTGATCTGCCATGGAACTCACACAAGAAGATTTAGGTAAGAGCACATTCTAAGACTGTCCCTAAGACCCTAAAGAAAACAGTATAAAGGGACTCCAGTATAACTGAAATGCATCAGTGTGTAGGAAGGTAGAGTGACTAGGAGTAACAGATTCAACAGGGCCTTTCTATTTAGGTAAGTAATCCATTTACCTCAGCCTTCTCATACTTTGCCATTCTCTTCTTTCTGGAAATAACCTGAGTGGAAGAAAGACAATTACTGTTTTAGGACTGCTACTCAAAAAAAGGTTATCTAAATTGACATATATGCTTTTAATGGACATAATTTTGATCTGAAAAAAAAATTAATTTTAACATCTATCCATAAACATTTATTGTTTCTTAAATTAAAAATTTCATGCCAGTGCAGGGGCTCATGCCTGTAATCCCTGCACTCTGGGAGGCCGAAGTGGGAGGATCATTTGAGGTCAGAAGTTTCAGACCAGCCTAGCCAACATGGTGAAACCCCATCTCCACTAAAAATACAGAAATTAGCCAGGTGTCATGGTGCGCGCCTGTAATCTCAGCTACTCAGGAAGCTGAGGCGCCATAATTGCTTGAACCCGGGAGGCAGAGGTTGCAGTGAGTGGAGATTGCACTGCTGCACTCCAGCCTGGGTTACAGAGTAAGACCCTGTCTCTTAGAAATAAATAAGGTGAGCCAGGTGTGGTGGCTCATGCCTGTAATCCCAGCACTTTGTGGGGCCAAGGCGGGAGGATCACTTGAGGTCAGGTGTTCAAGACCAGCCTGGCCAACATGATGAAACCTCGACTCTACTAAAAATACAAAAAAATTAGCCAGGCGTGGTGGCAGTCACCTATAGTCCCAGCTACTCCGGAGGCTGAGGAAGGAAAATCACTTGAACCCAAGAGGCGGAGGTTGCAGTGAGCCGAGATGGTGCCATTGCACTCCAGCCTGGGTGACAGAGCAAGACTCCATCTCTAAAAATACATACATACATACATACATACATACATACATACATACATACATACATAAAATAGGCCAGGCACGGTGGCTCATGCCTGTAATCCTACCACTTTCAGAGGCCGAGGTGGGTGGATCACTTTAGGTCAGGAGTTTAAGACCACCCTGGCAAATATGGTGAAACCCCATCTCTACTAAAAATACAAAAATTAGCCAGGCGTGGTGGCATATGCCTGTAATCCCAGCTACTTGGGAGGCTGAGGCAGGAGAATAGCTTGAACTCAGGAAGCAGAGGTTGCAGTGAGCCAAGATCGTGCACCATTGCACTCCAGCCTGGGCAACAGACGGAGACTCTGTCTCAAAAATAATAAAATAGTGGCCAGGCACGGTGGCTCACGCCTGTAATCCCAGCACTTTGGGAGGCCAAGGTGGGCGAATCACGAGGTCAGGAGATCGAGACCATCCTGGCTAACACGGTGAAACCCCATCTCTACTAAAAATACAAAAAATTAGCCGGGCGTGGTGGTGAGCGCCTGTAGTCCCAGCTACTCCGGAGTCTGAGGCAGGAGAATGGCGTGAACCCAGAAGGCGGAGCTTGCAGTGAGCCGAGATTGTGCCACTGCACTCCAGCCTGGGCAACAGAGTGAGACTCCGTCTCAAAAATAATAATAATAATAATAAAATTTTCACTACTAAACAAAAACAAAGTCTACCACGACAAGTGAAACAAACCAAAATAAATAAATAAATAAAAGACAATGCTGGATCCAATGGGAGAACAAGGAAGGAAGGGGAGGAAGGGGAGGGAGGGGAGGGAGGGAGGGAGGAAGGAAGGGAGGAAGGGAGGGAGGGAGGGAGGGAGGGAGGAAGGAAGGAAAGAAGGAAGGAAGGGAGGGGAAAAAAGGAAACAATGAATAATCTTTTTTTTTTTTTTGAGACGGAGTCTCGCTCTATCACCCAAGCTGGAGTACAGTGGCGTAATTTTGGCTCACTGCAACTTCCGTCTGCTGGGCTCAAGCAGTTCTCCTGCCTCAGCCTCCTGAGTAGGTGGGATTACAGGTGTGCTCCACCACGCTCAGTTAATTTTTGTATTTTTAGTAGAGACGGGGTTTCACCACGTTGGTCAGGCTGGTCTCGAACTCCTGACCTCGTGATTCACCCACCTCGGCCTCCCAAAGTGCTGGGATTACAAGCATGAGCCACTGTGCCTGGCCACAATGAATAATCTTTAAAGAAATTTAACAGTTTAGGCCAGGCACGGTGGCTCATGCCTATAATCCCAGTACTTTGGGAGGCTGAAGTGAGTAGATCACCTGACATCAGGAGTTCGAGATCAGCCTGGCCAACATGGTGAAACCCCATCTCTACCAGAAATACAAAACAATTAGCCAAGCATGGTGTGCACGCCTGTAGTCCCAGATATTTGGGAAGCTGAGGCAGGAAAATGGCTTGAACCTGGGAGGCGGAGGTTGCAGTGAGCCGAGATCACACCGCCGCACTCCAGCCTGGGTGACAGACTCCATCTCAAAAAAAAAAAAAAAAAAAAGAAAAAGAAAAAAGAAGCCAGGCACAGTGGCTCACGCCTGTAATCCTAGCACTTTGAGAGGCCGAGGCAGGTGGATCACGAGGTCAGGAGTTCGATACCAGCCTGGCCAATAAGGTGAAACCCCATCTCTACTAAAAATACAAAAATTAGCCAGACATGGTGGCCGTCTTCTTGGGAGCTGAGGCAGGAGAATCACTTGAACCCGGGAGGCAGAGATTGCAGTGAGCCGAGATCGTGACACTGCACTCCAGCCAGGGCAACACAGCGAGACTCCATTTCTTTTTTTTTTTTTTTTTTGAGACAGAGTCTTGCTCTGTCATCCAGGCTGGAGTGCAGTGGTGCAATCTTGGCTCACTGCAAGCTCTGCCTCCCAGGTTCACACCATTCTCCTGCCTCAGCCTTCTGAGTACCTGGGACTACAGGTGCCCGCCACCACGCCCGGCTAATTTTTCGTATTTTTAGTAGAGACGGGGTTTCACCGTGTTAGCCAGGATGGTCTCCATCTCCTGACCTCGTGATCCGCCCGCCTCGGCCTCCCAAAGTGCTGGGATTACAGACCTGAGCCACCACGCCCGGCCAGCGAGACTCCATTTCAAAAAAAGAAGGAAAGAAATTTAACAGTTTGGTGTGCATTCTTCCACATCCTCCTTTTCCACACCAATACAAATATCATATATATATATACATGCATCTAAGTTTTGGGGTCTAAAAATGGGATCATGCAGTATCATCACCACCTGTGCACAGCCCGTATCAACATCATAGCAACCATTCCAGATCCAAAGGTAAAGATCGAACTCATTCATTCACATTATTCCCTATCGTAGATACAATAAATACAATTTACTCTCTTACTGATACACACTCAGGCTATTTTTCAGATTCACTTTTTTTGTTGTTTGTTTGTTTTTATTCTTTTTTTGAGACGGAGTTTCGCTCTTGTTGCCCAGGCTGGAGTGCAATGACATGATCTCGGCTCACTACAACCTCTGCCTCCTGGGTTCAAGCGACTCTCCTGCCTCAGCCTCCTGAGTAGCTGGGACTATAGGCATGCATCACCATGCCTGGCTAATTTTGTATTTTTAGTAGAGACAGGCTTTCTCCATGTTGGTCAGGCTGGTCTTGGACTCCTGACCTCAGGTGATCCGCCCACCTCGGCCTCCCAAAGTGCTGGGATTGTAGGTGTGAGCCACCACGCCTGGCCAGATTCACCCTTACAAGCGATGCTATGATACAATAACTGAATGTGCTTCCTTATTGCACTTGTGTTTTCATTTATTTCTACAGGATAATTAGACTTCCAGCATTAACCACTCGTGTTCATTTGCCATCTGAAATTTCTATTAACTGTCTATCCCTACCTGTTGTAATTCTTTCTTTAGGTTTCCTCATCAATTTGTAAGAACTCTGTGTATTATGTATAATATCCATTCTTGCTTTATGCACCATATTTTTTTCATGCCCATCATTGACATTTTTTACTTTACAGTTTCTTTGCCATATAAAATGTTTAGTTTTAATGAAGCCAAAATATATATATAGGACTAGGTGCAATGGCTCATGCCTATAATCCCAGCAGTTTGGGAGGCTAAGCCGGAAGAATTGCTTGAGCCCAGGAGTTCAAGACCAGCCTCGGCAGCCATAGCAAGACCTGGTCTCTACTAAAAGTTAAAAAATTAGGCCGGGCGCGGTGGCTCAAGCCTGTAATCCCAGCACTTTGGGAGGCCGAGACAGGTGGATCACGAGGTCAGGAGATCGAGACCATCCTGGCTAACACGGTGAAACCCCGTCTCTACTAAAAAAATACAAAAAACTAGCCGGGCGAGGTGGCGGGCGCCTGTAGTCCCAGCTACTCGGGAGGCTGAGGCAGGAGAATGGCATAAACCCGGGAGGCGGAGCTTGCAGTGAGCCGAGATCCGGCCACTGCACTCCAGCCTGGGCAGCAGAGCGAGACTCCATCTCAAAAAAAAAAAAAAAAATTAGCCAGGTATGGTGGCAGGTACCTGTAGTCCTTGCTACTTGGGAGGCTGGGTCAGGAGGGTTACTTAAGTCCAGGAACTGGAGGTTGCAGTAAGCTGTAATCATGCCACTGCACTCCAGCCTGGGTGACACAGCAAGACCCTCTCTCAAAATATATATACGGCGGGCGGGGCTCAGCTGTATCCAGCCTTGGGAGGCCGAGACGGGCGGATCACGGTTCAGGGATCGAGACCATCCTGGCTAACACGGTGAACCCGTCTCTACTAAATACAAAAAAATTAGCCGGGCGAGGTGGGGGCGCTGTACTCCCAGCTACTCGGGAGGCTGAGGCAGGAGATGGCGTGAACCCGGGGGGCGGGGCTTGCAGTGAGCTGAGATCCGGCCATTGCACTCCAGCCTGGGCAACAGAGCAAGACTCTGTCTCAAAAAAAAAAAAAAAAAAATATACATACACATATGTATCATGGATTCCAGATTTCTTGCCTTACATGGTTTCCCCTACCACAAGGTTGTACAAACATTCCATCAATTAATTTTCTTGGGAATTGTTTTACTTTTTTATATTTTTAAAAATGTAAATGTCTTTGAACACGGATACACTGCCCAACTCCTTTCCTACTGCTGTGCTCGGGACATACCACCCTCACACAGCTGGGCAACATGGCCAGCCTGGTGGAGTGAAATAGGAATTCAACTTTTGTTTTGTTCCAGATGGAGAGCCAAACATGGTTGATTGAACTGGAAATCTGTTTCCAAATACCCTCAAACCTGTTTCCGAATTCTGTTGTGTTAGTAAGATTTCTTTCTTTCTTTCTCTCTCTCTTTCTTTTTCTTTTTGAGACAGAGTTTCGCTCTTGTTTCCCAGGCTGGAGAACAATGGCGTGATCTCAGCCACGAACTCTGCCTCCTGGGTTCAAACGATTCTCCTGCCTTAGCCTCCTGAGTAGCTGGGATTACAGGCATGCGCCACCACGCCCGGCTAATTTGTATTTTTAGTAGAGACCAGGTTTCTCCATGCTGGTCAGGCTGGTCTCAAACTCCCGACCTCAGGTGATCCACCCACCTCAGCCTCCCAAACTGCTGGGATTACAGGCATGAGCCACGGTGCCTGACCCCCCCTTTTTTTTTTTTTTTTTGAGACAGGGTCCTGCTCTGTTGCCCAGGCTGGAGTGCAGTGGTGTGATCATGGCTCACTGCAGCTTTGATCTCCTGGGCTCAACTAACCACTCCCACGTCAGCCTCCTAAGTAGATAGAACCACAGGTGCAAGCCATCACGTCTGGCTAAGTTTTGTATTTTTGGTACAGATAAGGTTTTGCCATGTTGCCCAGCCTGGTCTCAAACTCCTGGGCTCAAGTGATCCACCTGTCTCAGCCTCCCAAAGTGTAGCAATTACAGGTGTGAGCCACCGCACCCAGCCATTATTACTTTTTCTTCAAAAAATATACCCTTAAATGAAATTTTACTTGTTCTGTACTCACCAGCACAACAATTCCAGCAACAATTGCTATCACCACAACCACAATAACAGCAATAACACCAGCTTTTAGACCCTGCATTGAGAATTCAGGTGCTTTTTCATCGACATAATAAATTAAAGTTTGACCAGGATCCAGATCCAGTTGTTCCCCATTTACTCTCAGGTCCATTTTCTTAGAATGAAACAAGGATTCACCTTTAACCTGTATTGAAAAGGAGAAAAGGAATTAAAAATATTTAAGAAAACAAACCATGGTCACATATAATTACATACAAATTGTATGCCAAAAGAACCGCTGCCAAGAATCTTTATGGTTTTAGTGATAACAATCTAATCTATTGGAACTTTAAAAAACTGTTTATTACAGGAACCTTTCAACATACACGGAAGTAGAAAGAGTAGTGCAATGACGCCCATGTACCTATCACCCAGATGCAAGGACATCAACACACAGCCTCTCTTACTTCATCTTTTCTTCCTTCTATCCCTTCACCCCCACCCAGATTATTTTGAAGCAAACCTCATATTTCAGCAGAAAATACTTCACTATAATACATTAAAGTTTAAACAAAATATTTTAATCATACCAGTTACACAGTCTTTTTAAACAGACTCTTATTTGTGTAAATTATAAATATCATAGGGGAGCATATATGTACAAACTAAGTAACTACCAAGTAGATAATAAATAAGAATTATAAGAAACAGAGGAGATATTTTAGGCAGAACAATTTGATAAGAGGCATAAATACACAAACAAGTAAGATGCATGTGAGTGACAGGGAGGACAAAATTAATGGCAGCAGCAGAACCATTTGGTTGATCTATAAGTGGAGAAAAAGGTGATGAAATATATTTAATTCATTGAGGCATGATAGACTACATTCCTGAACACAGGAATAGAATAAAGAAGATTATACTCACATCTTTTTCAAAATAATAAGCCACATCAGCTATGTCCACATCATTCTGAGTTTTCTGAGAAGAATTTTGAACCAGATCAATAGTGATAACATTATCCTCATACTGGGGAAAAAAATTTGAATAATACAAATTAACACTAATATAGTCAAAATCATTTGAAAATAACATTATTTGAGAATCAGAATAGTCAGTGTTTGATTTTCTGTAATCTACATGCATCGCTGTTCCTTTCCATTAGTGGATAATTAAGTTGCTCATTAATCGAGAAATCTTTGGGAGGTCTCTAAATCTATCAAAGGGAAATAAGACAGCCATGAAACCAAACATAATTACAATGCACAATTTTTCCTAAGAGAATTTTCTTATATTGAAAAGGTTTTTAAGTAAGATATGAAAGTATTTTATTTGGATTAGAACTACTTTAAAACTAAAATACTAGGCCGGACGCGGTGGCTCAAGCCTGTAATCCCAGCACTTTGGGAGGCCGAGATGGGTGGATCACGAGGTCAGGAGATCGAGACCATCCTGGCTAACACGGTGAAACCCCGTCTCTACTAAAAAATACAAAAAAACTAGCCGGGCGAGGTGGCGGGCGCCTGTGGTCCCAGCTACTCGGAAGGCTGCGGCAGGAGAATGGCGTAAACCCGGGAGGCAGAGCTTGCAGTGAGCTGAGATCACCCCACTGCACTCCAGCCTGGGCGACAGAGCGAGACTCCATCTCAAAAAAAAAAAAAAAGAAAGAAAAAAAAAAAATATTAAGAAATGCAAGGTAAGGCCGGGCGCGGTGGCTCATGCCTGTAATCCCAGCACTTTGGGAGGCCGAGGCAGGCGGATCACCTGAAGTCGGGAGTTCAAGACCAGCCTGACCAATATGGAGAAACCCCATCTCTACCAAAAAGACAAAATTAGCCAGGCATGGTGGCACATGCCTGTAATCCCAGCTACTAGGGAAGCTGAGGCTGCAGAATCACTTGAACCTGGGAAGTGGAGGTTGTGGTGAGCCGAGACCACGCCATTGCACTCTAGCCTGGGCAACAAGAGCAAAACTCCGTCTCAAAAAAAAAAAAAAAAAGAAACGCAAGGTAAAACGCAGTATGCATTTACCATGTTGTTGTTTTTTTTTTTTTTTTTGAGACGGAGTCTCGCTCTGTCGCCCAGGCTGGAGTGCAGTGGCCGGATCTCAGCTCACTGCAAGCTCCGCCTCCTGGGTTTACACCATTCTCCTGCCTCAGCCTCCCGAGTAGCCGGGACTACAGGCGCCCGCCACCTCGCCCGGCTAGTTTTTTGTATTTTTTAGTAGAGATGGGGTTTCACCGTGTTAGCCAGGATGGTCTTGATCTCTTGACCTCGTGATCCGCCCGTCTCGGCCTCCCAAAGTGCTGGGATTACAGGCTTGAGCCACCGCACCCGGCCTTACCATGTTGTTTTTAAAGAGTAAAAAAAGTATATTCTTTCTAAAGAGTCTTGAATAAATTTATTTATTTATTTATTTATTTTTTTGAGACGGAGTCTCACTCTGTCACCCAGGCTGGAGTACAGTGGCCGGATCTCAGCTCACTGCAAGCTCCGTCTCCCAGGTTTATGCCATTCTCCTGCCTCAGCCTCCCGAGTAGCTAGGACTACAGGCGCCCGCCACCTCGCCGGGCTAGTTTTCTTGTATTTTTAGTAGAGACGGGGTTTCACCGTGTTAGCCAGGATGGTCTCGATCTCCCGACCTCGTAATCCGCCCGTCTCGGCCTCCCAAAGTGCTGGGATTACAGGCTTGAGCCACCGCGCCCGGCCAAGAGTCTTGAATAAATTTATACTGCCTTTAAAGAGTTTCATCACACTATTCAAGTTTCTTTTTTTTTTTAAACCAGAGTTTAAAGAGTTAAATAAGGGCTAACTGGTTAAGGACCAGTTCCTGAAAGCAGAGAAGATGGGAGCTCCAGTAACATCCTAAAGTAAATATGCACCAAAACCATATTTACTGAAAGTTATTTTGGTGCATATTTACTTTAAGATGTTACTTGAGCTCATCCACAGGGACAGGTTCTCCAGGAAAAGAAAACTCAAATGTTTTAGGGATACTAAGAGATACTACATTTTCTTTAGGAGTAAAACTAGGCTTTTCAAAGGCTACGGAAGGAAAACAACGATAACCAAAAACAACGGGCTGGGCTTTGTAGCTCACACCGGTAATCCCAACACTTTGAGAGGCTGAGGTAGGCAGATAACTTGAGGCCAGGAGTTCAAGACCAGCCTGGCCAACATAGCAAAACCCCGTTGACACTAAAAATACAAAAATTAGCTGGGCATGGTGGCGCGTGCCTGCAGTCCCAGTTCCTCAGGAGGCTGAGGCACGAGAATTGCTTGAACCTTGGAGGCAGAGGTTACAGTGAGTGGAGATCTTGCCACCACACTCCAGCCTGGGGAACAGAGCAATAGTCTGTCTTAAACAAACAAACAAAAAACAGTAACAGGAAATTCACATTAAGTACCCAAGATCTGAAACTGTTGCTCTAAGTGTATTTAACCACCACTTAAATCACTGGCTGTCCTTATACTCAAAACATACCGTCTCACCAACCACCTGCTAAAGCTCACTTATTAAAAAATCATACCAAAATATTTGTGATAAATTTTGGATCCAGTTGATAACGCGTTTTGATCGCCTCCTCAAGTGCACTGTAAAGAATTTAAAATCTGTATTAAAAAAATATGTTTGTACCACACAACAGTAAGAAGCACTACTCTTAAAGCAGATAGCTCATGGTGTAGAATTGTCATTCAAGTTAAAATTTTTCTGCCATTTTGCAACTATCATAATAATAATTGATTCAGGCTAGAATCATCCATTGATATTCAAACTGCTGGGTGCCAGTTTAATTAGAAAAAGAACATTTACTTAATATCCAAGTATCTGCCCATAGATTACTTATGGATTACAAAGGGAGAATGGTAACTTCACAGTGGAAAAACCTGGTGGATACCACTTTAACCAAAGTTTACATTACTAGTAAAGGGACAAGCTGACATCACGCAACTCCTAATGTGAAGTACTACAAAGGACACAAGATAGCATAAGTAGCTTTCCTGTCAAAAATGCATAATGTGTTTTTAGTTAAGAGGAAACATCAAGGCCCGGGTAAGGTGGCTCATGCCTGTAATCCCAGCACTTTGAGAGGCTGAGGTGGGCGGATCACCTGAGGTCAGGAGTTCGAGACTAGCCTGACCAACATGGAGAAACCCTGTCTCTACTAAAAATACAAAAAAAAGGCCGGGCGCGGTGGCTCAAGCCTGTAATCCCAGCACTTTGGGAGGCCGAGACGGGCGGATCACGAGGTCAGGAGATCGAGACCATCCTGGCTAACACAGTGAAACCCCGTCTCTACTAAAAATACAAAAACTTAGCCGGGCGAGGTGGCAGGCGCCTGTAGTCCCAGCTACTCGGGAGGCTGAGGCAGGAGAATGGCGTGAACCCGGGAGGCGGAGCTTGCAGTGAGCTGAGATCCGGCCACTGCACTCCAGCCTGGGTGACAGAGCGAGACTCCGTCTCAAAAAAAAAAAAAAAAAATACAAAAAAAAATACAAAAAAAAATTAGCCAGGCATGGTGGCGCATGCCTGCAATCCCAGCTACTCGGGAGGCTGAGGCAGGAGAATCACTTGAATCTGGGAGACAGAGGTTGCGGTGAGCCATGATTGCACCATTGCACTCCAGCCTGGGCAACTTTGTTGGGAAACTCCAACTCAAAAAAAAAAGAAGAAACATCAGACAAATCACAATTTGAGGGACATTATATATAACAACTTGCCCATGTTCTTCAAAAATAGCAAGTTCATGGAAGACAAAGAAAGGCCAAGAAACTGTTCAATATTAAAAGAGACTAAAGAATCATGACAACTAATGTGATACATGATCTTGGACTGGGTTCTGAATCAGAGGGGAAAAATTACCACAAAGGACAATATTGGGAAAATGGGTACAATGTGATACAATGTTAAATTTCCTGGCCTGGTGTGGTGGCTCACACCTGTAATCCCAGCACTTTAGGAGGCGGAGGTGGGAGGATCACAAGTTTGGGAGTTCGAGACCAGCCTGGCCAATATGGTAAAACCCCATTTCTACTAAAAATACAAAAATTAGCTGGGCGTGGTGGCAGGCGCCTGTAGTCCCAGCTACTTGGGAGGCTGAGGCAGGAGAATCGCTTGAACCCAGGAGGCAAAGGTTGCAGTAAGCTGAGATCATGCCACTGCACGCCAGCCTGGGTGACAGAGCGAGACTCCATCTAAAAAAGAAAAATTCCTAAATTTGATCATTGTATAGTGGTTTATATAAGAGAATGCCTTTTGTGCTTAGGAAAAGATACACTAAAGTACTTAGGGATAATGGGGCCTGATATCTACAACTTGCTTTCATATGCTTCTGGGAAAAATATTTCTACATGCATAGATACACTGATATAAAGCACACCACGGCCGGGCGCGGTGGCTCAAGCCTGTATCCAGCACTTGGGGCGAGACGGGGATACGAGGTCAGGAGATGAACATCCTGTTAACAGGTAAACCCGTCTACTAAAAATACAAAAAAAAACTAGCCGGGCGAGTGCGGCGCCTGTAGTCCAGCTACTCGGAGCTGAGCAGGAGAGGCGTGACCGGGGCGGAGCTTGCAGTGAGCTGAGATCGGCCACTGCACTCCAGCCTGGGTGACAGAGCGAGACTCCGTCTCAAAAAAAAATAAAATAAAATAAAATAAAATAAAGCACACACACATATTCATCCACACATACATATATAAAAAGTAAATATGCCAAAATGTTAATTGGTGAATCTGAGTGAAGTGTATTCCTGGAATCTCTGCGCTATTCTTGTAACTCTATTTCAAGTAACTTTGTTTTTCAGAAATATGAAAAAGCATTTAGACTTGGCTTTTCAAATGGTGTAGGATGGAAGATTTGAGCCACCAATTGCGCAAGAATAATATGATGCATTTCATCGCACTTACGTCCGCAAACTTTGAACATCATAAGGTTTTTCTCTTGCTTTGTGTTTTAATTCAATGATGATCCAGCTATAAAGTAAAAAGACAATGCCAGTTGACTATAACTCAGTCTTTTATACTATTTTCCTAATAAGCTAATACTAAAATTCTTGAATTATAAGGACTAAGAGAAAAAAAATTTATGCAGTAGCTATTCCCATAATTTATTCCCTTACACATCCTTTATAAAGGACACACCCAGGAGGGAACACCCTAATACTGACCCTCTGTTCTCTGAACACAATACATAAGGTTACATGAAGTCAAGGTTTAGCTGGCAGTGTTGTGCCCTGTTAAACTGAAAAGATGAAAAGCCATGAAAGGGCCAGGCACAGTGGCTCACACCTGTAATCCAGCACTTTGGGAGGTGGAGGTGGGTGGATTGCCTGAGGTCAGGAGTTGGAGACCAGCCTGGCCAACACGGTGAAACTCCGTCTCTACTAAAATACAAAAATTAGTCAGGTGTGGTACAGCTGCAGTCCCAGCTACTCAGGAGGCTAAGGCAAGAGAGTTGCTTTAACCCAGGAGGCCGAGGCTGCAGTGAGCTGAGATTGTGCCGCTGCACTCCAACCTGGGCAACAAGAGTGAAACTCTGTCTCAAAAAAAAAAAAAAAAGAAAAGAAAGGGCACAAAGAGAAAATTGACAAGGATGCTCCAGAAGACCAAAATAGAAAAACAGGAAGTGCCCACTTTGGTCCTGACATCCTTTCCAGTTTCTAGTGCCTTCCAATGAAGTCTTTTTTTGCTTAAGCTAGCGTGAGTAGGTTTCTGTTCCTTTTCATTAAACAATCCCTAAAGCATATCTCACTTTTAAAGCACAATAAATGAGCAAATACATAGGTTAAATTACATACATTTAATACTAATGCAACTATGAAATACTGAATAATGTTAAGTAAAGATATAAAAGAAAAATTATACCTAGTATGCTACCGTTTACGTAAAAATAATAAAACAGATACATAACACATTCATCAACTATCTCTAGAAGGTTATAGAATAATCAATAACGTCAATTCTATGGAGGTCCACTGGGTAGCAGTGGGGACTGGAATAAGAAGGAAGCTTTTCACTGGACACTCTTTATCTTCTGAATTCTAAACCATGAAATCATATTACATAATCAAAAATAAATTTAATTAAATGAATCTGAACAGCATGAAAACAAGTAGTATAGGCAGCCCCACTCACTAGGTTCTCACTCGCTCAGAGCAGGTTATTTCAGTGTCCTTGTCAGTTCTTCTGACCCCAGCAGTGTTCACACACCAGCACGTGGAGGTGCCGTTGCACTGCTTGGCCTTAAAGAGCCCGCTCTCATCGCAGTCAGGATCGTAAAGGCCATCATTGTTCTGGAGAGCCCCTTCAGGTTTCGCTCTTCTCCCAAGTTTTGAGCCGTTCATTTCTGCCTTCATCACCAAACATTTGGCAGCCACTGAAAAAGAAACCTTAATGCCAAACTGAAAAATAACCGATTTCATGATTACAGGAAAAAAAAATTAACTATAAAGTTCCAGGGTCAAAGATTATTTGAAACTTATGTGTTCCCACACTTACTTTATAACATGATTCAGATTTAAGCCAGTAAAACTCTTTCCAACTCAAGGCACATCAATTAAAGAAGTATTAAGTCAAAATAAAGCTTACAGGTAATAAGGATATTTTACTCACGCTTTGAGCAAAGGACAGTATTTTGTGCACCAATCGAAGTACACTGGCATTGACCATTGTCATTCAAAAAGCAGTTTACGGCCAGCTTGTAGTTTTCACAGACACATTCTAGAAAATTTAAAAAAACAAAAAAACTACTTTAAAATATGGATCTATTAACTCTCATGTCCCTGCTAAGTTATATAGCAATAATAATGCCTTAAAGTTACAAGGACACAAAACCTTAAAAAGTGGTCCTGAATGTTTTATTTTTCAGCTATAGACTACTTCCTAAGTGCCTGGCACTTGCAAAAGTCTGCATACTGTATACAGACACATAGTTTAATCTACATGCATTCCTGTTTTGATTTTTTTTTTTTTCCTTTTTGAGATAGGGTCTCACTCTGTGGCCCAGGCTGGAATGCAGTGGCACAATCTTGGCTTACTGCGGCCTGGACCTACTGGACTCAAGTGATCCTCCCCCATCTCAGCCTCCCAAGTAGCTGGGACTACAGGCATGCACCACCATGCCTGGCTAATTTTTTACTTTTTGTAGAGTCGGGGTTTTGCCATATTGCCCAGGCTGGTTTTGAACTCCTGGCCTCAAGCAATCCTCCCACCTCAGCCTCCCAAAGTGCTGGGATTATAGGCATGAGCCACTGTGCCTGGCCTCCTGTTACAATTTTTTAAAACAAGAACACAGCTCTCCAAACATCATTTATAGCTTTGTCTTTGTGAAACTCCCAGTCTTAGCTCTTTCCTCACTCCTGTCCTGCTAAATAACATCCCTGTTAGTCACTGCCTTTTTTTGTTTTTCTTCTTGAGACAGAGTCTCACTCTGTCGCCCAGGCTGGAGTGTAGTGGTATGATCTCAGCTCACTGCAACTTCCATCTTCCAGGATCAAGCAATTCTCCTGCCTTAGCCTCCTGAATAGCTGGGACTACAGTGGTCCGCAACCACGCCTGGCTAATTTCTGTATTTTTAGTAGAGATGGGGTTTCAGCATAATGGCCAGGCTGATCTCAAACTCCTGACCTCGTGATCTGCCCGCCTCAGCCTCCCAAAGTGCTGGGATTACAGGTGTGAGCCACCGCGCCCGGCCTTTTTTTGTATTTTTAGTAGAGATGGGGTTTCACCATGTTGGTCAGGCTGGTCTAGCATTCCTGACCTCAGGTAATCCACCCACCTCAGCCTCCCAAAGTGCTGGGGTTACAGGCGTGAGCCACCATGGCCAGCTGTTACTGACTCTTTTACAAAAAAATCAACAATTCAATTCTAGGATCTGCAAATCCTCACCTTCTGTCGCTCTCCCACCCCATTTTCTTAAATGAGGGATGTTTCCTTCGGGGCTTAACAAGAATATATTCAATCTTTAAACCATTTTATATCTTAGAAAAATTACACTTTTTTTTTTTTTTTTTTGGAGACGGAGTCATGCTCTGTCGCCCAGGCTGGAGTGCAGTGGCCGGATCTCAGCTCACTGCAAGCTCCGCCTCCCGGGTTCACGCCATTCTCCTGCCTCAGCCTCCCGAGTAGCTGGGACTACAGGCGCCTGCCACCTCGCCCGGCTAAGTTTTTGTATTTTTAGTAGAGACGGGGTTTCACTGTGTTAGCCAGGATGGTCTCGATCTCCTGACCTCGTGATCCGCCCGTCTCGGCCTCCCAAAGTGCTGGGATTACAGGCTTGAGCCACCGCGCCCGGCCAGAAAAATTACACTTTCAACTGCAGTTATAGTCATCCCTGTAAGTGAGTTTCCTAACTAAATTAAATCCTAGTATCTGATTTAGAGAGTGATACTAAGCAGCCTATTCTGGGTTATTGATGTCAGTTTAATAGTTTTGTCCTTAACTACCTCAAAAGTTCATTTAACTGCGAATTGGCAAGACTATCTAATTCCTTTTGTCTAGTTAAAAGAGCACAGTCATTAAAACAAAAATTATCTCCTCAGTTCAACTGAAGAGGGAAAAAAAGAAAAAGCTAGCACGACAAACCAGAGTTTTTATATTGATCCTTCGTATCCCAAGTACTCTAAGTTGACTCTAACTTTTCCCTGTTCAAGTTATAATCGATATGAACCACCTTTAATCTGCCCAACACTAAACTCAATAGTGGGGTCACAAAAGGGGAAAATACAGCACTTGCTCTCAAGCGTTTAAATCTTTGCAGCCCCATCCTGTACATGTTTAAAACACATTGTTCATCCCTAAGGGGCGTGAAATTTAAATCAGACCAGTCAGGTGCAGACTTGGAGAACAAACCTGTAGTAGCTATGACCACTTTAAAGCAATTTAACATTAAGTATGTAGTCACAGATTGAAGCTAGAAAAACATGAGTTGACTAAACTGCATTACTTTGAGAGTATAATTACTGAATTTAGGCCACTCCGTTGGTGAAAGTATAAAAGCCCTTCCAGAGAGCTTTGGCAAACGCCACTCCACTTCTAGGCACCATCTTACAAATAAATCAAGAGATGCCGGACCTGTGGCTCATGCCTGTAATCCCAGCACTTTGGGAGGTCCAGGTAAGAGCATCACTCGAGCCCAGGAGATGGAGGTTGCAGTGAGCTGTAAATGTGCCACTGCACTCCAGGCTGAACCACAGACCGAGACACTGTTTCCAAAAAAAAAAAAAAAGAGAGAGAGAGAGAGAGAGAGAGAGAGAGAGAGCGCGCGAACCAGCAGCCAAGTTGTTTATTCCACAGTTAAGCCAAACTACATGTCTAACATTTGAATAATGGTGCAACATACCAGTCACCATTTTAAATCTTGTTTTTAAGGCCGAATGTGGCGACTCATGCCTGTAATCCCAGCACTCTGGGAGGCCCAAACCGAGTGATCACTTCAGCCCCGGAGTTCGAGACCAGCCTGGGCGACATAGTGAGGTCTCGTCTCTACAAATACAAATATTCGGCGGGCGCGGTGGCTCACATCTGTAATCCCAGCACTTTGGGAGGCCAAGGTGGGTGGATCAGCTGAGATCAGGAGTTCGAGACCAGCCTGGCCAACATGGAGAAATCCCGTCTCTACTAAAAATACAAATTAGCCCACCGTGGTGGTGCATGCCTGTAGTCCCAGCTACTCAGGGGGCTGAGGCAGGAGAATCGTCTGAACCCAGGAGGCGGAGGTTGCAGTGAGAGGAGATCGCTCCGTTGCACTCCAGCCTGGGCAACGAGCGAAACTCTGTCTCAATAATAATAATATGTAATAATAAATAAACACAAAAATTAGCCAGGCATAAAGGCTGAGGCAGACTGATGGTCTGAGGTCGGGAGGCAGAGTCTAGAATGAGTCAAGATCGTGCCCTTGCACTCCAGCCTGGGCGACAGAACAAGGCTGTTTCAAATAAAAAAATAAAATAGGCCGGGCGCGGTGGCTTAGGCCTGTAATCCCAGCACTTTGGCCTGAGCCACCGAGCTCCACGGGGGCGGATCACGAGCTCAGGAGTTCGAGACCAGCCTGACCAACATGGAGAAATCCCGTTTCTACTAAAACTACAAAAATTAGCCCCGGGTGGTGGCCCGCGCCTGTAATCCCAGCTACTCTACTCAGGAGGCTGAGGCAGGAGAATCGCTTGAACCCGGGAGGCAGAGGTTGCAGTGAGCTGAGATCGTCAAGCCTGGGTGACAGAGGGAGACTGAGTCTCAAAACATAAAACAAACAAATAAATAAAAAGAAAGATATACCTAATTATTAATTATGGGATTCTCAAAATTCTGGGATTATAGGTTTTTACTCTTTACGGTTATTGTTATTTCTGCGTTCCCTACAATAAGCTTGGCATTACTCATATGATCCTTAGAAAAGGGAAAACACCCACACGCCCCGTGTAGTCCAGGCCGCCTGGCGCGCGCAGGTGCATAGCGGCCCTGGAGGCCTCCGTGCGGGCACCTGTCCCCGCCTGAGGCCCACATCCGGGGCCCGCTGTCAGTGACAAGGAAAAGGGCAGGCCAGCTGGTCCTTGTCGCAGAGACTCGGCCACCGGCTGGGGCTGTTTTGGAACCCCAAGTCCGCCCCGAACGGAGGAGGTCCGTGCGCCAGGGCGCGAGGCACCGGTTCGGTGGCCGCAGGAAACCCTGGACGTGGCCACTCCGTTTGCCACCTGTCCCCCGCCTCCGCCCCGGTCCATTTCCCTACCGAGGCGAGCAAAGCTGCAAAGTGAGGCTGCTCCCCCGGACCACGCGAGTGAGCGCCCCCTCGCCATTTCCTACCGCTCGGAGGGCCTGGGCCGGGGCACGGCCGCGCCGTCCGGTCTCCAGGCTGGAAAGCGCGGCTTCTTGGTCCCCTCCCGATTGTTCCCGTTTCGGGGGCCGCGCGCCGCTGCCCCCCAGCCCAGCCCAACTCCACAACTCTGCTCCAAGTCCGCGCCTCACCTTTCTGAGCTGCGGCAAAACTCGCAGTCGCCGCCGCAAGCAGAAGCCCGAACGCGAGGACCTGCGGGGGCGCCATGCTGCGCGCGCGCCGAGAAGAGGGGCGCAGGAGGAGCCGGGGACTCGCGGGAGGGCGTGCGCCGGGAGTGGGGCGCCAGGAGCCGGCCGGGCAGCGCGAGGCCTGGGGCGCGCAGGTCCGCGTCGGGAGGACAGCGACTAGGAGGTCCCCGGACCGCGTCGAGGGTGCTCCCTCGCCGAAGGTCTAGCGCTCTGTGCGCGCGGCGGGGCGGAGCGCAGACCTGCCCGACCTGGCGGCCCCGCCTCTCGGCCCCTTCCCGGGACTGCTCACCTCTGGCAGCCGGTGGTTGGCCATGAGTCACCGCCCCGGAGCGGGGAGTGACTCCCTCCCCCAGCCCCGTCGCGGCCGTTGGGGCACCGCCCCCTCCACAGGTGTAGGCCAGCGCGCCCCGCCCCGCCCCAGGTGCTTCATCTCCATGGCGGCGTTAGGGACCTTTGGTGGCCTCCGAGGAGGTTTGAAGATTCTGTGCTGAGACTTCATTTTAACCGGAGGAGCGCTATTCTGAATCCTTGAAGAAAGGGACCTGGGGGAAAGGGTGCGGGGACTGGATAGAGGAAGGTGGAGGCTAAAGGGAATACAAACACAAGCAGAGAACCTTCCAAAACACTGTGAAAAAGACCTTTGAGCTTTTACCTGGCAATTTAATTATACTCCTTTGAAATCAGAAAAAAAAAAAGAAAGAAAAGAGAGAAGAGGAAAGAAGAAATCTCCTTGGCGTTCTTGGGAAGAAAATGAGCGTTTCTTTATAATTACTCTTAATAATTCTTTTCTCGTTTTCATAAGCATTTCTGGCACTTGAAGATATAAGAAAAGGTGTTCCCAGGCCGGGCGCGGTGGCTCACGCCTGTAATCCCAGCACTTTGGGAGGCCGAGGCGCGCGGATCACCTGAGGTTGAAAGTTCGAGACCAACCTGACCAACATAGAGAACCCCTGTCTCTACTAAAAATACAAAATTAGCCGGACGTGGTGACACATGTCTGTAATCCCAGCTACTCGGGAGGTTGAGGCATGAGAATAGCTTGAACCTGGGAGGCGGAGGTTGCAGTGCGCTGAGATCATGCCATTACACTCCAGCCTGGGCGACAAGAGCAAGACTCCGTCTCAAAAAAAAAAAAAAAGAGAGAGAGAGAAAAAAAAGGTATTCCTATAGAGTCAAATACTAAGAACCGAGATTATTTCGGGTTTTGGATACTATTAAAGGACAATATTGATGAGGCCTTTGGAAAGAAAATATAGGGAAATAGAAACAAAGGACAGTAATCGATTTCCGTGCAAATGAATTCAAATCACAACACACTATATTATTACAATATTAAAATAATTATAAAGACTTCATATATATACTATTTAGCGAGGTGGGCAGATCACGAGGTCAGGAGTTTAAGACCAGCCTGGCCAACATGGCGAAACCCTGTCTCTACTAAAAATACAAAAAAAATTTAACCAGGCGTGGTGGCGCATGCCTGTAATCCCAGCTACTCGGGAGGCTGAGGCAGGAGAATCACTGGAACCCGAGAGGCAGAGGCTGCAGTGAGCCAAGGTCATGCCATTGCACTCCAGCCTGGGTGGCAGAGCAAGACTCCATCTCAAAAAAAAAAAAAAAAAAAAAAAAAAAAGCCTGGCACGGTGGCTTATGCCTGTAATTCCAGCACTTTGGGAGACCGAGACTAGCAGATCACGAGGTTAGGAGATCGAGACCATCCTGGCCAACATGGTGAAACCCGTCTCAACTAAAAATACAAAAAGTAGCCAGGTGTGGTGGCAGGCGCCTGTAATCCCAGCTACTCAGGAGGCTGAGGCAGGAGAATCGTTTGAACCAGACAGTCGGAGGTTGCAGTGAGCTGAGATCCAAATGCTGCACTCCAGCCTGGCAACAGAGCGACACTCCATCTCAAAAAAAAAAAAAAAAAAAAAAAAAGGAAAAGAAAGGTAAAAAAGGAATTTTAAGATTTGCTAGGTTTGATTAATTTCTACAAGCATATGTCAAATCAAAGCTTATTTTTTTTTTTTTTTTTGGAGACGGAGTCTCGCTGTGTCCCCCAGGCTGGAGTGCAGTGGCGCGACCTCGGCTCACTGCAAACTCCGCCTCCCGGGTTCACGCCATTCTCCTGCCTCAGCCTCCTGAGTAGCTGGGACTACAGGCGCCCACTACCGCGCCCGGCTAATTTTTTGTATTTTTAGTAGAGACGGGGTTTCACCATGGTCTCGATCTCCTGACCTTGTGATCCGCCCGCCTCGGCCTCCCAAAGTGCTGGGATTACAGGCGTGAGCCACCGCGCCCGGCCAAAAGCTTATGTTTATATTAATCATTTCTGTGTTGTATTCGGTTGAAGTGTAGGCAAGTTGATTAATGTAAATAGTCATGCTGTTATAAGTACCTCTACAGTTTGTTTTGTATAATTTACTTTTTTTTTTTTTTTTTTTTTTTTTTGAGACAGAGTCTCGCTCGTCGCCCAGGCTGGAGTGCAGTGGTGCGATCTCGGCTCACTGCAGGCTCCGCCTCCCGGGTTCACACCATTCTCCTGCCTCAGCCTCCCAAGTAGCTGGGACTACAGGCACCTGCCACCATGCCCGGCTAATTTTTTGTATTTTTAGTAGAGATGGGGTTTCACCGTGTTACCCAGGATGGTCTCGATCTCCTGACCTTGTGATCCACCCACCTCGGCCTCCCAAAGTGCTAGGATTACAGGTGTGAGCACCACGCCCAGCCTTTGTATAATTTAAATTTCACTTGATATATGAAATAAGCTATTTAGGCCAGGTACAGTGGCTCACACCTGTAATCCCAGCACTTTGGGAGGCCAAGGTGGGTGGATCACCTAAGGTCAGGAGTTTGAGACCAGCCTGGCCAACATGGTGAAACCCCATCTCTACTAAAAATACAAAAAGCCGGGCTTGGTGGTGGGCACCTATAATCCCAGCTACACAGGAGACTGAGGCAGGAGAATCCCTTGAACCCGGGAGGCGGAGGTTGCAGTGAACCAAGATTGCACCATTGCACTCCAGCCTGGGCAACAAGAGCGAAATGCCTTCTCAAAAAAAAAAAAAAAAAAAAAAAAAAAATAGTACTAACAAATCAGGGACAAGTTACCCAGATTTTTGTTGTCTGCTGAATTTTGGATGTTTTCAGGAAGTTTTCCTTTCTCCAAATTACATGTACTTTTCCCAAGAATAATCTAACTGGTTATTGTGGCTTTATTGGCAAAATGTTCCATTTCGAGATCTAAATCTGTTCACCTAATCTGGAGAATTTCATCTTCTTATAACTGGACAGCTATTT